AAATTTTTCTTTATCAATATTTAGGTATTAAAGTTATTATGGTTACTGGTGATCATCCAATTACAGCTAAAGCTATAGCGAAAGGTAAGCAACGATATTAAATGATCAAATGCAAATGAAATTTGTTTATATAGGTGTTGGAATTATAACATCGGATACAGGTATAATAGAAAATCTAATTTTAGGATTTCTTAAAAAATATTTTGCTTCTATTTATAGCTCAAGATTTAGCTAAACGTTTGAATATATCTCCTAATGATGTTGATCCAAGAGATGTACGTGCTATAGTTGTATCCGGTGCTGAATTATCAGAACTCTCATCTCATCAATTAGATGAAGTATTAACACTTCATCGTGAAATTGTATTTGCACGAACATCTCCTCAACAAAAATTGATTATTGTCGAAGGTTTATTATTGATTTCAAATACTTTTTTTTTCAAAGATAAATTGAATATTTTTATAAGGTTGTCAAAGACAAGGTTGGATTGTTGGTGTAACAGGTGACGGTGTCAATGATTCACCTGCTTTAAAGAAAGCTGACATTGGAATATCAATGGGTAAGATTCATTCACATGTTTTAGTATATCGTGAGTCTAGTTGTTTTGAATATCAATAGGAGACCGACAGCTATGACTTTCGCGACTCGTTTTCTTGAAAACCAGTTTTTTTAGAGAAAATTTTTTTTCTCGAATACTTTTTGAATTTCGTTCAGAGTGTAGCATATGTTGAGTTGACTATGAAATGCTATTTTTTTTCTGCTTAGGAACCATTGTTGAGATCATTAGAAACATAATTCTTTCTTTTCTCTTTGGATTTTTACAGAAAAACAAATGAGTTTCAAAGATAAATGTCACTCACACTTAGGATGAGTGTGTGAGCCTTATCTACCCATGCACATGTGCACTCAACCCGCTAGATTTTGTGAAAAAAAAACGATTAGAGAGTTAATGGCTTTCCCTCGTTAGTTCGTCATTAGAAAACAACTGTTAGTTTTTAATCTGATAACTAAATTTATGTATTCTTACGAAAATTTTTTTATTTTCAAAATAGGTATAACTGGTTCTGATGTAAGCAAACAAGTTGCAGATATGATATTACTTGATGATAATTTTGCAACAATTGTTACTGGTATTGAAGAAGGTCGACTTATATTTGATAATTTAAAAAAAGTTATTGCTTATACATTTACTAAAAACTTAGTCGAATTATTACCATTTCTTGTTTATGTTGTTGCTGACGTTCCACTTGCATTAAGTACAATCACTATTTTATGTATTGATTTAGGTACTGATATAGTACCAAGTATTGCATATGCTTATGAAGGTGTTGAAGCTGATATTTTAGTGAGTTGAAATGTTTTTTGTTTTGTTTCTTCTTTGATTTAATTTGAAATATTTTGTTATTAGAAACGGCCACCACGTAAGAGAACAGATAAAATGGTAACAAGTCAAATGGTTACACTTTGTTATGGACAAATAGCAATGGTTGAAGCAAGTGGTGCTTTTTTTGCTTATCTTGTTGTAATGGCTGAAAATGGATTTTGGCCATCAAGACTTATTGGTTTACGTGAAGCTTGGGAATCAACATCAGTTAATGATCTTCGTGATAGTTATGGTCAAGAATGGACATATGAACAAAGGTAATATGTTGATAATATCTATTGTTGAATTTTCATTATTTTTTTTTCTCTTGATTAGACATAATCTTGATTTAGCTGCACAAGCAGCTTATTTTATTGGTGTTGTTATTACACAATTTGCTAATTTATATGGTAATAAGACAAAACGTCGATCTGTATTTCAACAAGGATTATTTAGTAATCGATTTATGGTATTTGCCATTCTGTTTACTATTGCTCTTGCATGTTTTCTTCTTTATATTCCAACACTTAATCGAGCACTTAATCTTAATCCAAATCGTTTTCTTTGGTGGCTACCACCGATACCATTTTTCGTCTATTTATTTGCATTTAATGAAGCAAGAAAATTTTTTATTCGAAAATATCCTGATCGATTTGCAGCACGTCAACTTACATATTAATATTGTTTCATATTATTATGTTGAACATATCTTAAATACTTTTTGTAATCATTTTATTCAATCGAATTTTTTTATTAATAATTCATATACTTTGAAAAATTCTTATTTAATTATTGAAGGATTTAATCGGTTTCATTTTTTGTCAAGTAAAAAAAACTGTAATAATAAATATTTTAGATGAAAACAATAGAAAATAGTTCTTTTTTGAATATTAATCTTGTTAATATGTAGGATGCATAAAGATTAACGATTGAATCATATTGTATATTTTCTTTTTCATTAGAAGAACGAAAGAAGAGAAAAAAAATGATAACTTAACAGATATTTTTGTCTTTTATTTTGCTAGAAATTATGTCAATAAACGATACAATGTGTGTCCGTTTATTGCAAACTTCATTCTATTTTACACATCTCAAGAGTTTCGCTAGATCGTGTGAAAATATGTATCGTCAGGAAGTAACTCAATTCGAAAAAGTTTTACAAAAGATGAAAATAAAATTTAAACAATCTGCTTCTTGTATTGAATTGGCTAAAATATTTAATCAAGCGGCAATAACAGTAAGAGAAAATGCGAAAGATAGTGTAGTCAATATGTCAAATACAAGAAATTAAATTTAAAATAGATTTCATTATAAATAATGTTCAAATAATAATAGGTATTAGAAGCAATAGATAAAAAAACAAGTGTAGAAACTGTAACCTATGAAAATGATATTTATTTTTTTCAGCATTATTTTCTTGGAATATTTATGAACAGATCTGATTTCAACTGGCGTGATGAAAAAAATCGATCAAGTTTTCCTGTTGAAATCGAGTATTTTCATACACACAGATTTGTTAATGCTTTATCAAAATCTGTTAATAAGGAAGAAGCTGAATAAATCAATATTTTTCTTTTTGTAATGAAACACTGCTTTGGCAAGAACATCAGAAAAACCTCAATGTATTTAATAATAATAATGAAAAAACACTACAAGAACTAATATATGAAGCACTATGCAACAGATACCATATAGATATATGCATAGTCGATGTGGTAATAAAGGAGTAGCTATGACGATTATTCAATTGCATGACAATTACTTTATTTTTTGAAGTATATATGTTTTGGGCGTGTAAACTTCCTTAAGAATTTAAATATGGTCAATTCTGATACATTGTTACTTTCGTTCGCGAATCCGTACAAGATCCAGCCTTCACATCAACAATATGCAACTTGTCAGAATAGTAATCATGGATTTCAATTTAGCAGTGTTAATGATTTATACATTGCATCAAACAATAATTAACACAAGTCATCTTATACAATAGGCTGTGGCATACAGAAGACATACAAAAGTCATCTTCAATTTCACTTCATTCATGACTTAATTGATGCAGAATTTTATGAAGAATTTTTATCGTAAGACATTTCGAATCGAAAACTATGTTAATCCACTATGTATCCTATAGTTTATCTTTAATAAAAGTTTTAGTTCGAACAGTTGAAGTGTTACTGAATTATGATATAAATATGACTTCAAATGAACATGAAAATCATATGCTAAGTGTATCACTGATGCTCACTATTCTCTTAATATCTTGAGAAACAAGCGAAACAGCATGAACTTTTGATTGATTTTAAAAGATTGAAGGATGAACTGCAACATCAAATGCTTTTTGATTGTATTTTGAGCACCATTCTATTAAATAAGAGAACTTGAGTTTCGTTTAGATAGCATTTATTGCATTTTTGAATGTTATTTAACACATTTCAATAAAACACAGTAGAATTAAAATCAAAAGCGATACCATATTTTGAAATCAGGACAAATAATGACTCGACTGATCTATGTTTCAAATTTTTTAATCAACTTTGTTTTTTTCTTGGAAAAGAATTAAACAGTAGTGGATTTTACAGTCTCTACTTCGAACATTCAGAATCAATCAAAAACCGATTGTTATTGTTTATTTCGTTACTCAACACATATTTTGCCATGTGAAAATTTACAGAGCTCAATCTTCAATGTATGAGTTATCTGTTTATGTTAGAAAAATGAATGTCAACATTTTGAGTGAGAATAGATCAAGATCTTATAGAAATAATTTTAGTTATGAAACAATTTATTGTGAAAGCGCTGCATTATCCAAGTCATGAATGAAGGAAAACTAATGATGGTTGTTGTGCGCTCCTGTTCATTCTCTTGGACATAAATGTAGACACAACTAGATGAGATAAAAATACTTCCACCAAGAATTATTATTTCAGGACAACGAATATCGAAATTTCCAATTCCCTTGATTTGATCACTTGAACTCAAGATGTAAGGTATTGGAAAAGTTTTTTTTCTACAACTAAAGAATACCTATGATTGTTAAATAACTAAATCTAAAAACCTGAGACTTGTATAGTTTTGCAGATCTTTCATTAATGGTTCCAGCACATACCACCTGATAATTAAAAACTCACTATAGTCGTCTCATAAAGTAACTTGGTTTTGCAAAAAGATCGATTGAAAACCTTAAAAAAAGCCAGGTCGAAAAAACTTGTAATATACAATTCAATACATCTTCATGTTTTCTTTCTAAATGAACTTTGTTACCATTATCTTATACATAACGATGCATTCTAACCGTTAAAATATTTTATTTTAAATCTCTATGTCGATTATTTGCGACATCTATTATCGATTATAAACAACCTCATTATAGTTGTAATTGGTCCTTCTCCGAGGCATCTCAATTTTGTGTTTTTCACATCAGCATCTTCTTCGACTTAATTGAATTCCCATTTGACGTCACACATCCTATGACGCGATCTGTGAATCAACGGATGTGTCATAGTTTTTTTTTCCATTTCAGATGAAATAAATTGTTTTACTTGAAGAACGCAAATTCTTCAAAAGACAAGATCGATTAATCGTTAGTTTTATTGAATGTTTTCAAGTTATTATAATTGATTGGCTCAAACATTTTAGTATGGACGGTGAACAACCGTACAAAATTCAAAATGATTATCATCAACGAGCTGCTGGTTTCCTTCGTCAAGCACTTGAATTCGACGAACAATCACGTATATTATTATTTGGAGAATAATATTTTCTATATGAATTTATTTGATTTATTAGATAATAAAGAAATGGCTATACTATTATACAAACAAGGTATACGTGAATTAGAAAAAGCAGTAAATTTAAATGTTGATCCTAAAGGTGAGATATTCACACTGATTACTTTCTTATATATGTATATAATTAATAGATAATCGTGCTGTGGAATTGCATGCAAAAATGCGTAAAAATCTAGCTATGGCTCGTGAACGAGTGCATGCTTTACGTGAGTTTATCTTGTCTTTATTATCATAGGTTTTATCTATCGGGCTTTTTTTTAAAGAGGATTTACTGCATAAAGAGAATGCAGCACCAGCAAAAGCTCAGGCTGTTCCAACAAAAGCTCGTCCTATTCCAACAAAAGCTCAACGTCCCACGCCTCCTCGTAAAGTTGCTTCACCACCTCCAGTATGTATTGAATTTTTTTTTGTGTTGACTAACGTTGCTTGTATTCCCAGTCTGCTTTACCTAAATTTTGCTATCGTGCTTTGTCACCTGCTATTGCTTCATCTTCTTCTTCGTCATCATCATCATCATCAAAACGTGTAGCACTTAAGCCAAAACAGGCACCTACACATGCAGTTAGTGTGAGAAAAAAAATTCTTTGATTAATTTATTAACCAAATGTTCATTTGTGAAGGTGAAATGTATAAACTTGTGTTTAGGCTGAAAAAAAAGAACTACCATCAAAATCAAATGATGATGCAGCTGCTGCTCAAAACAAACAACCTTTACTCAAATTACCTAATGTTGAAAAACAACTTATTTCATATATTCTTGATGAAGTTATAGTAAATAAACCCAACGTTAAATTCACTGATATTGGTAAGTCATTTTATTATGTCATAAAGACTAGAATAGTCCAGTTTAATCTTTATTTACATGATGCTAATACATTCTATAAAACATTGTTACGATTATTTTTCATATAATACGGTATGACATTTTAGCTCCATTTAGTTCTCATAAACATATCCTATTCAACCGTTTCTCTGTAGAAAATATGATTGGGGTTTGTAATTTGCAAAATGTACATGTCCTCTAGTCGATTATCCATATAAATTCATGATTATATAGATTTGTTTCTCGTGGAAAGTAATTTCTTGCAAAATTCATGTGTACAATTGTTAATGTCAAATCGTGATTTAAACAACATAAGAACTGTTTATTTTATTTTAAAATTATAATACAATAGCAGTTATACATAAATGGTAAATGGAGCTGTTGATATAGAAAATAATAGAGATCAATATAAGGATAGTGTTTTATGTAAGAATTGATAATGTGGAGTAATAGAATGATGATATTAAATATGTTTACTGAAGACATGAAGAGAGAAATAAGTTAGTTGGTAGTCAAATGGAGATTAAGCATCATAATATCAACAATGCAAATAATAAATCTTTGTCAAAAAAAGACAAAAGAAAGAAAGATGATTAAGTGTGACAATAAAATTTTAATAACTCCATTCTTATGACATTGTTAAATACAAAGAAATTCTTTTAAACTTCACTTAAACCTTTATTAGTTTTATAAATGAGATAAGATCAATCAAAATGATAAGCATATTTTATTTCATTATTACATAAAACAATTAAAATTTTTTTTTGCTTTGTATTTATATAGACGGTCAAGAAAGAGCCAAACGGGCACTTGAAGAAGCTGTTATTTTACCTGTTCTTCGGCCCGAAGTAAATTATCTTATTTAAATAAAAAGAACAATAATAAGCTATTTCATTCTCTTAGATGTTTACTGGTCTACGAGCACCCGTAAAAGGCATTCTATTGTTCGGACCCCCGGGTAATGGCAAAACAATGCTGGTAATTGAGAGTAAAGTGTTACATAATTAATTCATTTTGTCTTTTCAAAGGCAAAAGCTGTTGCTTCTGAAGCAAAAGCTCGTTTTTTCAATATCAGTGCATCTAGTTTAACATCAAAATATGTACGTAATAATTTTTTTATTTTTTTTATTCTATGTATTGTTATATTGACTATTTAATCAGCTTGGTGAAGGTGAAAAACTTGTTCGAGCTTTATTTGCTGCTGCTCGTGAATTACAACCATCAATTATCTTTATTGGTTTGTTTATATTCTAATTCACAATCACGTCATTTATCATATCTGTTTTTTTCTCTCTATCTCTCTCGTAGATGAAGTTGATTCATTACTTAGCGAGCGTAAAGAATCTGAACATGATGCAATGCGTCGATTAAAAACGGAATTTCTTGTTCAATTTGATGGTGTAGGTTACAAAAGAAAATAATAAGAAGAATAAAATTAAAACAAAAAAGAACCTATGAATTAAATTTCTTTTTTAGGTTCAAACAAATAGTGATGATCGTATTCTTGTTCTTTCTGCAACAAATCGCCCATTTGAATTAGATGATGCAGCATTAAGGTAAAATCGTGAAACAAAATAATTTTTTTAATGTTTGTTCAATCTCTATTTGTTATCTTTTAGACGTTTTCCTTGTCGTATTTATATTCACTTGCCAGACTCAAGAACACGTCGACATCTTTTACAACATTTACTTAGTAAACAAGAACATAGTTTAACTGCTAGTGATTTCGAATGGATTGCTAGGTAAGACGTTGCTGTTGTTTTTTTGCTTTATTATAAATATTAAGAAAATTTCTTTAAGTGAAACACATAATTACTCTGGTAGTGATTTAACTGCATTAGCCAAAGATGCTGCAATGGGTCCCGTACGTGAATTACGTGTTGATGAATTAAAACAATTATCTGTTAGTCGTATTCGACCAGTATCACGACAAGATTTTGTTCAAGCATTAAGAAAAATTCGACCAAGTGTATCACCATCAACAATTGAAAAATATATTACATGGAATCGTACATTTGGTGATTGTAGTTCATAAAGTTATTTTTGTTTATCTATGGCTTTTATGTAATTATTGAGATTCTTTGTTTTTTTTTCGATCGTCTTTATTTTTTTTTTTTGTTTTTATTCACATCTAGTCACGTATTTGATATGAAAGTTTACGTTCACTAATCATATTTATAGAAAAAACGCAAAAAAAAAAAAAAGAAATCACTATATGAATGAAGATTTTGTTTTGTTTCTCTATCAGTTATTTCCTTTTTTTTTTCTTTTCTGAGATTTATTATTCCTGATGAAACAGATAAATATTGTGTGATTTTTTTTATTTATGTAATATATTTGAGCATTGTAGTTTAGTTTGTGACGTTATATGACACAATGACAACGAGATCGAATGTAGTGCAATATGAATCTAATTTATCGACAAATTGCAGCAACACCGACCTAATCGCATTGGTTATTTCGTTTTCTTTTCTGTCAATAGATTGACGTGCAAGAAAGAAAGAAAAGAGAATTTTTCGTAATATTTAATTTTTTTGAAAGAAAACGAAGACGATCGAGAAGAGGAGAGAAATCCAATATAAATGCATAAAAGAACGAGCAAAAAGACTAATTACATGTAGAATGATTACGAGTGGTTGGCTATGGTGCAAACGCCCTTTTCTCGATTTCTTACGGAATCTATCAAGATATCTTTTTCTTTTCTTTTCTTTTGTTTTTTTCTTTTTAATCTATCTGTTAATCTCGATAATGTTCAGTTAGTGCCAAATAAAAAAGTAGAGAATCTTCTTTACCTGTATATGAATGATATGATGATTTACCCTTTTACACTACTCCGAAAAAAATACATATGGCACGCATCGAAACAGGACACGAAGGTATAGAATAAGAAAGACATAAGCGTACGCAAGTAAACTGGATTGTAACAGAGCAAAAAAGAGAGAGAGAGACAGAGCGCACAAAAGAGACAGCATAGAGCACTCACCATTCAAATCAAAAAATAAAAACGAAGAAAAGAAGAAAGAGAACGACAACGGCAGAAAGTAGCATACCTGTACACACCATCATCATCAGAGTAGAGACAAGAGCAGCAATTGAAATGAAGAAATATACATACGCGCACATTGTCGTAGCAACGATGATGACGACAATGACAATAACAACGTCATGCAAGGTCTTCAAGCAAAAATCTTTCTTGTCTACCATATAACAAAAGAAAAAAAAAGAACTTGTTTTCGTCTTCCTTCTTTTTTTCGCTACTATACATAATACAAAGGAAAAAGGACGGATAAAAAAAAATATCGACATATGAGTACACATATATATATATGTATATATGCGTGCATTTCTTACTCCATCTATATAAGCGTGCGTGTAAGTGCACAATTCTGTAGCTATCTCGTGGTATTTATAATATACATGTTCTATTCCTTGTTGATGGTCAAGGTACAGGAAATAGAAGAAACAAAAGAATGAAGGTTGACTCATAGAGATCGATTATAAAAACTAACTGTGCGTATATTTATGTAACTATCTATCCTATTGTGTTGTCAACTCAATTCGAAACGAAGATGAAATTCAATTTAGACATGTAAAGAAGACTGATGTGATAATTACCTTTATGAATATGTGTCCAACTCTCTCACATACCTTCCAAACGAATGACTGAGCTTTATATGGGTATGTTGAAATGAAAATATATTTCATCGCTCTCTGTCTCTCCCTCTATTCTTTCTCTCTTTTTTCTAATTATACGAACTCTCATTCTCTCTTTCACTCTCTATGTGTGCACAAACAGACACAATACTTCAATTGTAACTAGCTATTCGAGAACGAACAAGTATTGAGAAGACTTTTAAAAGATTTCTTTTACGTCTGAGAAAAGGTTGTCACATTCAAGTACCTTTCTCTTTCTCTCTAGTTTTATGTGTAATCAAACAAAGAAAAGAGAGTGGGAAACAAAGAGTAAGGCAAAAAACGCACAAGCGAGAGAGACAGAGAGAGAGAAAGAGAAAGAGATTGATTTTTTTCTGTCGTGCGGAAAACGCCATAGTGGTACCTCTCAAGTTCTCTCGCTTGTTCTTTGATTGAGCTGAACTATGTAAACAAAGTAAAATAAGAGAGTATGCATGTATGTATGCCGTTGTCAATGACACAAATGAAATCACCCTTGGAGGCATGTTGATTCTTTTATATACATTTGAAATGAAATCATCCATCGTCCAACACATTTATACCATTGAAGTAGGAGAAGGTACTCTAGAAGAATGGAAGGAAGAGAGCGAGAGAGACAGAAAGCTCTTGAACATGTAGAAATGAATGCTGGAAGATGTTGATTGAAATTATTATGAACAAAAGAATGAGATGAAAATTATTTTGTGTAATCGATTGAAACGAAGCGAAATTAAATTAAGTGATGACTACCTTTTAGTTTATTGTAGACAGTAAAAAAAAGAAAAAGATGATTTTAATTTATTCAGCTGAAAAAATGAAACGTTTGAAAAGTTTTTTTAATTAAAAAAACTTGTTTATTTTTATCATTACGAAAAAAAATTTCGAAGGATGATTCCCATTCTAGGAGATATTCACAGCAGAAATTTGATAATACATAAACGATCAATAACAAACATAAATCTTGATTGTATAATAATATTTTTTTTTACGAAATAGAAAATGAATTTTGATTTACATCCTTTTAGATCATTTGTATGAAATTGACTTTTTTAAAAATTCAACGATTTTTTCTATTACGATCTTGTACGAACATTATATACGTATTTCTTTATAATACATAATTTGTTCTGCTTGGCTTTTTTTTCTGATAGTTTCAACAATGTCTGAAAAACTTTCAAAAAATCTTTGTACTTGCCAATCATCTGAACCTCGTCATGATAAATTAGTAATTTATCAAATACTTGTTCGATTGTTTGGTAATCGAAAATTAACAAATATTGTTCATGGAACTATTGAACAAAATGGTGTCGGTAAAATGAATGATATTAATGATGCATGTTTAAATGAATTAAAACGATTTGGTTATACACATGTTTGGTATTGTGGACTTCTTGAACATGCAACATTAACTGATTATACAGCATATGGAATTCATAAAGACAATCCTCATATTGTCAAGTAATAAATGATTTAATTTAGTTTTTTTTTGTTATGATTTGATGAGTTTGTTTTCTTTTTTATGTAAAGAGGTTTAGCTGGCTCACCATATGCAGTAAAAGATTATTATGATATCGATCCAGATTTAGCTGTTGATATTCCAAATCGTATAAGTGAATTTGAACAATTAGTTAAACGTACTCATGCACATGGTCTTCAAGTTATTATGGATTTTATTCCAAATCATGTTGCTAGAGAATATGGTTCTGATGTTCAACCTAATGAAGATTTTGGTATAAATGATGATCGAACAAAATCATTTAGTCCAAGAAATGATTTTTATTATATTGAAAATGAAGAATTTCGACTGCCAAATGTTGAACATATACCTCCATGTATTGATATATCAAAAATACCAAAATATACTGAAAGACCAGCACGTGCAACAGGTAATGATGTATTTCATGCACAACCATTAATTACAGATTGGTTTGAAACTGCTAAATTAAATTATGGAACTGATTATGCTGTCGGTAGAAACTATTTTGATCCACGACCACCACTTTGGGATAAACTTTTTCAAATTTTATGTTATTGGATTGATAAAGGTATTGATGGTTTTCGTTGTGATATGGTAAATTTTAAATTCATCTTTCACAAAAATATTCTGTTTTATTTTTTCATTATTACTAGGCAGAAATGGTTCCGGCTGATTTTTGGTATTGGTTAATAACATCAATACGTAAAGCATATCCTGAACGACGTATTGTTTTTATTGCAGAAATTTATCGACCAGATTTATATCAACGTTATATTGAACATGGTCTTTTTGATTATTTATATGATAAAGTTGGATTATATGATTGTTTACGTTGGTTATTAGAAGAAGGTTCAATATTAGGAAACTGTAATGATATAACACATATTAACAATGAACAAAAACATTTTCATGAACATATGTTAAGATTTTTGGAAAATCATGATGAAGTTAGGTAAGAAAAAGATTTTATTTTCTTTGAATAAGTAGATATTAAATTTTTGTTTGATTTTAGAATTGCTGCAAAACAATTTGCAGGAGACCCATGGAAAGCAATTCCAGCTGCTGTTTGTACAGCTGCTATGCATTCTGGTCCGTTTATGATTTATTTTGGACAAGAAATTGGTGTAAATCCTGTTGGACAGGAAGGTTTTCAAGGAGATGATGGTCGAACAACTATTTTTGATTATTGGGTAATTTAAAAGGAGAGATATTTTTTATGATATGATATATTAGAAGTAGTCTTACATAAAAGTATGTAGATTTTTATAAGCAATTTTTTTGTTCCAACAGAGATCGAAAAGTCTTACTCAATTTATTCGTTAAACAGAACAAGAAAAAGATGATCTAGTAAACTTTAGAGTATAGTGTTTGAATAATATGTACATATTTTTTCGAATATTCTCAACCAACAATCATTTATTATGTGTTACTAATTATGTAGTCATATAAAAACTTTGAACGTTCTTCAAGATTTTTACAAGATATTCTATTTTTCTTAGGGTATTCCTGAATTTCAAGCTTGGTATAATAATGGTGCATGTGATGGTGGTCAATTAACAGTTTCACAAAAAGCTCTTCGTTCGTTCTATGAAAATCTTATAAAACTTATTCATGATCATAAAGCTTTACATTGTATTTCATCAAAATTAATTGATTTACAATTTGCTAATCATTCATTATATGATACAAAAAAAGTTTATTCTTTTATTCGATACCATGAACATGATGAGCAATTATTATTTATATTAAATTTTGATTATAAAAATAGTCATGATATTGAATTAGCAATACCTAATGAAATTTGGTCATGCATTGGATTAGATATAAATAGAGTATATACACTTCAAGAAGTTTTTATTGATGGCAAACTCAAATTAGAATTACGT